TAATTTTATTTTAAAAACAGATTTGAAAAGAATGCAATTAGTAAAATTTGCGTATTTCAAATAAAGTCTGACAAAATTAAGTCTGAGAAAACGATATAGATAAAAAAAAAATTAATATCTGAAATAATCAGAATAAAATAAAAATTAAAACTAAAAAACATTTGAAAGAGTAAAATTTACAAAACAGCAAACTAAAAAAAATTGGTTAAAATGTTGATTGAGTTTTGAGATTAATTTATGATGTGTATGCACTAATTTAGCCAATATTGTTACAATTTGCACTTTTTTAGATTTCATTTCCAAATGTTATATTTTTAGTTTTTTAATTTTATTTTAGAAACAGATTTAAAAAGAATGCAATTAGTAAACTTTGCGTATTTCAAATAAAGTCTGACAAAATTAAGTCTGAAAAAGGAAATAGATTTTAAAAAATTAATATCTGAAATAATCTGAATAAAACAAAAATTAAAACAAAAAAACATTTGAAAGAATAAAATTTACAAAAACAACAAACTAAAAAAAAATTGGTTGAAATGTTGTTTGAGTTTTGAGATTCATTTATGATGTGTATGCACTAATTTAGTCAATATTGTTACAATTTGCACTTTTTCAGATTTTATTTCCAAATGTTATATTTTTAGTTTTTAATTTTATTTTAGAAACAGATTTGAAAAGAAAGCAATTAGTAAAATTTGTGTATTTCAAATAAAGTCTGACAAAATTAAGTCTGAAAAAAGGAAATAGATAAAAAAATCTGAAATAACCTGAAAAAAAGTTTTAAAAAAAACTAAAAAACATTTGAAAGAATAAAATTTACAAAAACAACAAACTAAAAAAAATTGGTTGAAATGTTTGAGTTTTGAGATTAATTTATGATGTGTATGCACTAATTTAGTCAATATTGCTACAGTTTGCACTTTTTCAGATTTTATTTCCAAATGTTATATTTTCAGTATTTTTATTTTTCTAATTTTATTTCAGAAACAGATTTTAAAAAGAATGCAATTAGTAAAATTTGCGTATTTCAAATAAAGTCTGACAAAATTAAGTCTGAAAAAAGGAAATAGATAAAAAAAAAATATTTGAAATAATCTGAATAAAAGTAAAAA